TGGTTTTTTTTTTTTTTTTTCGTTTTTTGAGACAGGGTCTCACTGTGTAGTTGAGACTGACCTGGAACTCATTACGTAGCCCAGGCTGGTCTCAAACTTACAGTGGTACTCCTGCCTCAGCCTCCCAAGTGCCGGGATTATAGGCATGTACCACCACACCCGGCTCAGATGGCTGCTTTCTTAAAAATGGAAAAGCACAGTGCTCATCTCTGATGGAGATAATAGATAACACAGGATGAAGGGAGTGCCATGCGAGCGTGTGCAGGAGCCAGTTCTTCCTCTGAACAACTACAACCTTTCAATAAGCCAGAATGCTCTGTTTCTATATGCTTCTGAGCTTCCAAGACAGAAGTACAAACTATGAATAAGGTTGCTGTGAAAAAGATAAAACATGACTTTCGGGATATGTCTTGGGGCCTGTAAACATCAAGATGTTTCCCACGCCTCCTGTTGATCCAACTGAGGACAAGCTGTTTGTATTAATATCAAATCCAAGGCAACCACCTAAGTCAAGGAGCAAAGAATGATCCAACATTCTTCACTGTTCTTTACGATAAAGGTTTTAAGAAGACTTTCTAGGTATGAAATGACAAACTTGTCCCCTAACCTTAAGTCTCCCCAGAATCAAGTTGTTTCTCAAGTGTTCTGCATTCCTCCTGTAGGAAGTAAGGGCGGTTCCACCCGTGTCTCCCCACAGGCACAGACCACTTACAGTGTTCACAAGGGGGCTGTAATTCCTGCGTCTCACTGCCTGGCAACTTGAACTACTGGTGGTACCTGCATTACAGTAGTAATGGTGGTCCTGCCCATTGGACAGCTTTGTATTGATTTTCATTAGTAAGAAGACTGGTAAAACAATAAGACAGTCTTACATGTACCACTGACAGTTCAAGCCAGCAGGAACCTATTAAGCCACTGTCACTAAGAACCAGATGTGCCCCACCAGCCACGTCTAATGCGGGGGTCATCTATTCTCATAAACTCAGTCGAAAACCGCAAGAGCAGGAAAGCTGGAGGACAGTGGGAAAGGGGCAGGTATGCTGTAATCCTCAGCTCAGCTCTGGGAACTTGTACCTGAGCCCCACAGGAGGAAAGATAGCAAAGATGAGTGCCAGGAGTGGAAAATGAAGGCACTCTTTCTCATGAGGCTCTCCGTGGGCAGACATGCTCCAGTGACCCGGAATGACCCAAGGGAGAGGCATCTGCCCACCTCTGTTGGAATCCAGCACTGCTGGAGCCTGGCAGACACCGTAGGAGGGCAGGGTGCACTGGCACCTCAGGGAGGGGCCAGGGTGCCTGGCAGGGACAGAGGTGAGGAGCCCATGCAGATGCTGCTGTAACAATGACGGTAGGATGGACCTGATCATGAGTACACACAAGAGATAGCTGTGGAGATTTGTCCTGTGCTTACTGACGTGAATTCTTTTTTCCCACAGGCTGGCAGGGTCCAGGGAAATTCAGATCACACAGAACTGTGCCCTTATTTTAGTCATTAATTATTTACAGAATAAACTGCTTTGTTGACTATGAGAACTCAATGACTACCTGCAGCTCAAACCAAACATACCTCCTGATTAAAGATGATATACACAGACTTCTGTTTGTTTCAAGTATCAAAAAATGGAACAATGGATCAAAGCTAATAAAGCTATTTATCAAGTATCACCAGTAGGTTGAAATTATTTTAGAAAAAAGTTATTGGCAATTTGCAATTTTGAAAACACTGTACAAGGTTTCAGCAAAAACTAAGAATTTTCCTCTGAATAAATCAAACTAAAGGAGATCCCCTGTTGGCTAAACAACAGGTTCTATGAGCTTTGCACAGTGGCAGTATCATAGCCAAAGAGGTTTGTCCGAGATGCGATTATTGCTAATTGAAGAAGAGGTTCTATGAAATTGGAAACAGAGGAGTCCATCCAAGTGACCAACCTCCCTGGCACTCAAAGCGGTTGTTTCTGCAGTATCTCTAAAATGAAGGCTCACCACAGTGGCAGAGTAGACAAACCATACCTCAACCCTCTGCCTTCCCATCATTTATAGAAAAAGATTAGGAATAAATAAAATGAACACTAGACTCTTCCCAAATGTCAAATATCAAAATAAAGTGGTTAATTAACAGCAGAAAATCACTCAGGCATTTAGTACAGGTATTTGCCATCAAACTACCATTTCATTTATATATTTATTTTATATGGGAACTTCGTTTAAATTCAGGAAGAATAATCAGAGACTAATAAATACTGACTTTAGGCATCTGGCTTACTCAAAGCCATCTCCCAAATCAGCAGTGGTCAAAATGTCCCTACTATTCTCCTTTTCATTGCTTCCCCATCCCTCTACAACCTTGGGTCTACAATGATTTAGATTTGAAATGTCCCCCAAAATCCATGTGCTCAAAGGCTTGGTTGCTGGCTCATGGGCTTCACAGAAAGTGACTGGACTATCAGGGCTCAAACTTCATCAAATGCAGTAATCCACTGATGAAATAATTTGATGGCTTTAAAAACAATTTTTTTTTTTTGAGACAGGGTCTTGCTTGAACACATTATGTAGCCCCACTGGCCTCAGAACTTGTTAGGATCCTGCTGCCCCAGGCATGCACCACCCTGCGTGGCTTTGATGACACTACTGAGAAGCGACAGAAACAGAAGGTAGGACCACACTGAAGCGAGTGGCCATAGGGTCACGACCTTGGGGACTAGATCTGGTCCCCAGCTCTCTGGCTCTTTTCCTCTATGTCTCTATCCCTCGATGCTTCTGGCAGCCATGAAGTGAGCAGCTTTCCTACCCCACGCCTTTCCCTCAGTATGTCTCTGCCTCATCACAGGCCAAAAATAAATGGAGCCACCTGACCACAGACTGAAGCCTCTGAAACTGTGAGCCAAAATAAGTATTTCCTCCAGGAAGTTGTCCTTTCTCAAGTATCTTGTCAGTGATGAAACAGCTGACTAATACTGGGACTATTTCTTTTTTTCTGGATATTACTCATTAAATAATCACTTTGGGAAAAAGTTCAGTAACAACTGATGACAAAGAACACACAGTGCTTAAAGATGATGTGATTTTTCTATAAAATGGAACACTACTCAGCCATAAAGAATGAGAAATTAGAGTCATTCATAGGAAAATGGATACATATTGAGGATATACTCCTAAGTGAAATAAATGAGTCACATATGTGTAAATACTGAATGGTTTCTTTGGTGTGAATAAACTGTAATAGTACATAAGATCCTAATGAGACAATTAATAATGTGAAATAGGAAGAAAGGGGCTAAAGGTGTAGGGAAAGTGGGAAGGGTAGGGGAAAGTTAATAAGGGAAAAGAAAAGATATGAGAAAATGAAAAAATGGAAATAAAGTGTTTGTAAAGGGGGAAGGGAGGAGGGGGTGAAGGGAGGGCAGGGACAAGGGTAAAAAAAATGAGATCCAAGACCTGTCATGTAAAGGTACAAGATCCCAGTGATGAATGTAACTGTACTGTATACCTAGATTGTACCAATAAACTCAATGAGGAGAAAAAAAAAGAGAGAGCACAGTGCTTTTTAGTGCACTGACAAGAAAAGCACACCAAACCCAGCAAGCAGTACAGTAGAATGAGGTAAGCCATATGTTTCTTCTGTGATGATAGCAACCCTCACAAACATACCAGTATGCAAAACTGTACAAAGTATTGTTAATGAACTTCAAAAAGATTTCTTTTTCAAAAAATTCTGGGACATTTCTCCTATTCATTTTCCTCTGAGCTGGCTGCCTTTCACTGTCGTCTCTCCTCCAGACCCCCAACTCTTAGGCAAGACCGAAATGTTGCTGAAGTGTAACACAGAGCTTCTCTTCAAGCTCTATCTGAACATAACAGGCAACACAGCTCACAACCTGACAAGGGACCAGCACTTCTGGAGAAAAATCCCTGCCGAAAAAATTCCGAAATAGCATCCAAGAGGTTAAGCAATTAAATTTTGCCTTCCCTGGGGAGTTCCAGGAACAAGGAGAAAAGGGGTGATCTGTCACACACGGGGTGATCTGTCACTTCACTGCTTGTCAGCCTGTCCACCTGCCCTTGCCTATCACATGGGGCATCTGTGGAAGTGAGCAATTTCTGCTTGCTGAAACAGCCTCCTTGGGAGTATCTTATTCCAAGCTGCTTTTCTGATATTCCTCCAAATGAAAGCAACATTATCAGTTGCAAACAGAGTATCACTTTGAACAGTCAATAGTTAAGAGCATTTACGATGCAACTGAAATTGACACATGATCATTATTTATCACAACTTATTTAGCACTTTTTAATGAATGAAGATAACATCACTAAAAAAGCATTTACATAACCTTCACTTCTCTATGGCCTTTCAGTTTACATATACATTTAAATGATTCCTGTGATGGCAGTAAAACCAATAAAAAGTTAGAATATAAATCTATTCTTAGGTCCTGTAGCAATAAGTTCAAGTGACTAGAAGAATAAAGTTTTTTATTGCCCTTGCTTTGGGGACATATTCTAAGTCAGAAAAGACATTGTTAGTCACGAATTTAAAATGCATTTTCTAGAACATTCCCTTAAGTTTGTGTAGTACTTTGTATCATTGCAAAACATTTTCACAATTGGTGCTCCCAACAGCCTTATGAAGTAGCATATTCCAAAGCCAGAATAGGTCAAAACAAGTCAGTAGTTCAGAGGAAAGAGACCAGGCACCAATGGTCTCTTGAAGTCTTCTTATCCGCTCTCCTCGGGGACTTGCTCAGGCAGTGCAGTATGATTAGAGGAAGTATTCAATAAAGAACAACATTACTGTGTCATAGGGAGGTACGGAGGGAGGGCCAACCTGGGCTCAGAGAGCCTAGGACCAGCAGTCAGATCTCAGATCTAATCTCAGATCTGGCATTTGGTCCAGAACTTTTTATAACACAGTTTGCAGGCACAAAAGTTATTAGTCCTTGTCCACTATGGATACAGCCAGCCCTGAGGTGGACATGTACATATTTGAAACATGGGCTGATTCCTCCATCTTCTTGAGGCACACATTTGGGCTTCGAGAGAAGCCAAGGCTAATAAATGCCATCTCTGAGGACATTTTTAATCTAGGACTTTAAAAGTAGAAATAAGGTGGTCAGAGCTCACCTTCTAAGGTCCCTGGAGAGCCAGCAAACAAAGCTCCCATCACCTGGGCTAAATCTGCCCTGATGACCCCCACTGGGGAAGCTCTGCACCTCCCAACCAAGACAGCCTTCCAAGTAGCCCCAAAATAGCTGCTCTTCCTGCCATCAAAGCAGCAGTATTTAAAAATTTAACATTTAAATACAATTAGGTTTCACACACCTTGGAATAAAAGCCTGTGCTTTTTTGTTTGTTTTTTTGGCAGTAAAAAGGGTTTCACTAAATTGTACTTCTGGACCTTACTCAGGCCTTGCTAATGCATTCTGTCATGTCAGTAGACACTTGATGGGGAGCTAAAGTAATCCTTTTAGGACAGACTACCCAGTGCGCTTCATTAAGATGGATTTATTCTCTGCTAATGCCATAAGATTAGTTACTGATGACCTGGCATAAAGCCTAAAAATTTCAAAATTCTTTTTTACTTAAAAAATCTAATAGATGATCACCTCCCCCAAAATGACAATTCTGTAAGGTCCTCCACAATATGCAACCACCAACTTTTTCAGACTGATTTTTAATCATTCCTTTTTGCAAGATGCTAGGCCTACTCTAATACCACACCATCCTTCAAACTCAGCAGGGCATCCAAAGTCTCCAGACAGTTTGTTAAAACACAGCTTGCTGGGCCCCATCTCCAGTTTTGGATCCCGCAGGTTCTGGGAGGAGCCAGGAATGCGCATGTCTTAGCAATTCCTGGGCCCAGCTACTGCTTCCACACCCCGTACATTTCTAGAGCCCCCTAACTGGAAACACCAGTACTCCATGGCAGACTTTCACTGTGGGCTCTGCTCAAACCACACTACACCCCGCTACGGATGAGGGAAAGCTCAGGTCGCCTCCCTCTTCCCCCACTCTCTGCTTCATCTGCCTTATCTCCAAGGACAGAGCAGTGAAGAGTCAGAGTTCACTCAAGAAGGAGCTGGGGATACTGAGTGCCTATTCCACAGCCCCGAGAGTGTGCAGAGGCATAAATGCGGGCCAACCTTTCCACGGAGCACTGGCTTTCTGTTCCTCTCAGCCAGTGCTTAAGGAGTCAGTTCCAACATTCGGAATGTGGGTTCAGCATAAAGAAGAAACCTCCAGCTGAAGTTTCTAGAATTCTACAATGAGATACAAGGCCAAACTGAGAGCTAACAGTAAGGCATTGCTGTTTTTCCTTCACAAAAGCAGACACCTTCCCCAAAGACCCAGAAAAGAGGAGGCACAGCTGGGCCAAGACAGGTTTTAGTGCCACTGAGACTCCTGCCTGAATTATCACATGAAGGTCATCTTAACAGCACTCTATTCTGAACCGGTACCCATCTTCAAATACCAGCTGCTTCATTAAACTTTTCCCACTTGTACTTCCAGTAGACAGAGTCTGTCACTTGTACAAAGTCTTTTTCAGTTCCTCTGCCCCACTCAAGGAACTGTGCACACAGTTCTCATTAAATATTTCCTGAATTGAAATGGACTCACAAATCAGACAGTGTACAGTGGAGGTACACCACTGCCAAAGACTCAGATTAATCACATTCAAAAGCATTTCATATTTGGAATAGTTGTTTTTAGTAGCAAAGGTGTCTAATAATTGTGCTTTGGGAGAAAGAAGTTCAGCCATGATACCGAAGAGCCTTTATAATACTTCTGAAAATTTGTAAACATTTTATTTGCTGCTTCCATGAGTATATTCACAATATAATGCATATGTTGCCTCAAAGTTCTTCTTAATACAATGAAAATTAACCTTGAGAAATAACACAAAAACTGAACTGGCGCTCTTGATCATTTTCTTCTTTGGAAGCATGGCCCCCACTTGGCTTAAATGATCAAAGTTAAAAAAAAAATAGTGATCATACAGAGTGGTTTTTCTTTAAAGAGATCAAGAATAGGTAACTTACCTTAAAACTAGTTGTAACATCACATCTTCACAATGTAAACCGATAAGAGTTCTGAATAACGCCAGGGACACCACACAAAGCTGGGAAGCAATCAACACACATTCTATTTCAAATATTGGAATAACTCAACTCCCCACAGATGGTAAATACATCAGAATTACAAAATAAAATGGTCTCTTTTTTTTTAGTAATTTTGATAAAAAGCATGCTGTTGCCAGAGAGAATGTGTATTTCAGGATATGAGTTCTCCTATAGAAGCTGGTTAGAAAGCCAGTGCCTGGAATTATGCCACTGTGCAGAATTATCCTGCTATAAAAATGCCTACTCTCATATTTGCAATTTTTAAAGATCCAGACACACACACACAGAGCCCTGCACCTCCCAATACATGCATATGCTCCACACTCCTCCACCCCCACCCCCTACCCCCATACACGTGCGTGTGAACATGCACACATACCCCTCCTCCTCAGGTAGTTTCTTCCTACATTATTTTCATAAAACACTGGTTATTTACAAGAGAGGAGTCAGAACACTGCATGTAACCTGACCAGCTCTCTTCAGACTCTCAGTCCCAAGTCTCAGCTCGGGGCAAATATTCTCCTTGGTTCTTTTGCCTGTTGTGCTGAGGGTAAGGTAGTACTACCTCCCCACTAAGAAGCTCATTTAAAAAAAAAATAATAATCCCTTCCATCTCCAATTTCCAAAGGGAAAAGATAAACTGCCAAATATGAGAAATAGCCAGAGGTATATTATAAAAATCATTGTGTCCTTTTGAGAGTAAGCTTTTATCAATCTAGCAGGCTATTTAAGTAATTTAGGCTCTTATTGCTTTGTACAAGAAAGTAAGTGCCGGGCTCTCTTTCACTCAGGATGGGCTTAAAACCTGGTCAATGAAATCCACAATGGTTTTGTAAAGAAACAGCTGTACCTGACTTGCCCCCAAACATCTCTTTTGTTCAGGGAGGGTTACATATTTGTAGTCAGCCTGAAACAAGTCATTGCACATGCTGTTTGTTTAGCCTTCTCCTGCCTTCTGCACAGCAAACCCCTACGTACTCTCTAAACCTTTGCTTAGGCATCACCTCCCCTCAGAACCTCTCCGGTCTTCTTCACAGTACCACACTCACCATTCCTCTCCCCAGTCTCAGGTACTCTTCTTAGCTACTGCCACAGTCAGCCCTACAAATCACTGTCAAAGGTGCTCAGCAGGGTGTATTTTTCTTTTTTGTTGTTGCTGTTGCACTTTATTCAATGTACAAGTACTTTATCAGATATATCATTTACAAAGCTTTCCTACCATTTTGTGTGTTATCTTTTCAATGTCTTGATGGTATATACTGAAGTGCAAATGTTTTCCATTTTGACACTCTTCAATTTATCTATTTTTTTCTTTTGTTGCTCACGATTCTGGAGTCATACCTAAGGAACCACTGCCAAGGCCACAGGATATACTTCTGTGTTTTTTAAGAGTTTTACAGTTTTAGTTCTATAAGTCTCTGATCCATTTTGACTGTTTACATCCAGTGTAAGATAAATGTTCAACCTCATTCTTTTGCAGGTGCATCTCCAGCTGCCTCAGAACCATTTTTGGGAGTACTATTCTTTCTTCCACTGAATGGTCCTGAAAACCTTGTTGAAAAACCAATGACCATGAACATGTGGGTTTATTTCTGGACTTGCAACTCTATTCCATTTTTCTGCTTATCTATCCTTATACTAGTAGCACACTATTTTGATTAATACAGTTTTAAAGTAAGCTTTGAAATTAGAAGTATGAGTTCTCTTTGTTCGTTTTCAAGTTTGTTTTGGTTATTCTGGATCCTCTGTATTTCCATAGGAATTTTAGAATCACCTTATCATTTTCAATGAAGAGGCTAGCTGGAAGTTTTATAGGGAATGAATTAAATTTGCACATCAATTTAGGGAGTATTCCTGTGTTAACAATATCAAGTTTTCCAGCCTATGAACATAGGTTGTTTTTCCATTTACTTAGGTCCTCTTTAATTTCTTTTAATAATTTCTGTAGTTTTCACAGAATGAGTTTTTTACTTCTTTTATGGAATTTATTCCTAAGCATTTTATTCATTCTGATGCTACTGTATTATAAACAGGATTGTTTTAATTTGATTTTTCAATTGCTATTGTATGGAAATAAAAATTAATGTTTATACATTAATCTTGCATCTGGCAATCTTGCTAAACTCATTAGAAGATCCAATGGATATTTAGTGTATCCTTCAGCTTTTTACACACAAGATCATACCACCTACAAAGACAAATGATTTCACTTCTAATCTAGAGGGTTTTTCTTTTCTTGTCTTGTCTGATTTCCCTGCCTGTAACTTCAAGTACTATTTGAATAGAATTCCTAAGAGTAGACATTCTTATCTTACTTTTTTTTATCTTAGGGAAAAGATTTTTTTTTTCACATTCAGTAAGACAGCACTTTAAAGTTTTTCATAGATGATGCCCTAATACAGACTAAGTTCCCTTCTATTTCTAGTTAAGTATGTTTATCATACTGAATGTTATCAAACTTTTTCCTTGTCTACTGAGATCATTAGCTTTTTGATATAATGAATTATATTATTATTCATAATTTAAACCAGCTTTTCAGACCTAGTTTGATAAGTTCCACTTGATCAGAGAGTACGATCTTTTTATATATTGTAGACTCTGTGCTAGTGTTTTTCTGAAGATATCTGTGTTTATGTTCAAAATAGATATTAGTCTGCAGTTTTCTCGTGATAGCTTTGTCTCATTTTAGAATCAGGTAACACTGGTATCACAGTGAGTTGGGATATAATCCCTCCTATTCTATTTTTTGGAAGAATTTATGTTATTTTTTTAAAAAATATTATAGTAAAAAACCCATAACATGGGATTTTAACATCCTGCTGATTTATCATTAATGTACAATTTTAATCATTGATGTATAATCCAGTAGTGGTTAAATATACGCATATTCCTATGCAACAGAGTTCTAAAATATTTACATCAAAACTGAAAGCCAGGCCGGGGATTTAGCTCAGTGGTGCCACCGCCTGCTTCGCAAGCACAAGGACTCGAGTTCGATCCCTGGTACCAAAACAAAAGAACAAAACAAAAAACTGAATGTCAATAACTACCGAAAGGGATTTAGTTCACTGGCACCACACCTGCCTCACAAGTGTGGTCCTGAGTTCAATACCCTGTACCAAAAAAACTACTGAATAACCATGCCTCGTTTCCCCCATCAGTCAATCCCTGGCAACATGCGTCTACTTTCCATTCCTGTCTGTTTGACTACTTCAGATGCCACAGACGAGTGGAATTATTCAGTTTGTCTTTTTGTGACTGCCTATTTCAATTATTAGAATATGCTCAAGGTTTATCCATGTTGCAGCATCTCAAAGTAAATTTTCTTCCCTTGTGATTTCTTTGAGCTATGTAAAATTATTTAGAAGTGTGTTGTTTAATTTTTTCGTGATTGTGGATTTCCCAAATTTCTGCCAACAATTTTAAAATTCATTCCGCGTGATAAGAGGATGTACTCTGCATTACCGCAGCCCTTTTAAGTTCAGTAAGCTTGCTGTGCGGCCCCGTATGCGCTCTGTCTTGGAGAATGCTCCACATCACTTGAGAAGGGTGTTCGTCCTGTTCACATCAGGTGACAGGTTAGTGAACGTTTTCTCTACTATAACACTTTAATTCCTTTTTCACTTTTTTCTTAAGTGGCTTCTCTATCTCTTCCCATATGCTATTTTAACTTACAGATTCTACTTCAGATTTATATTAAATCAGTTCCAGTGAAATATAAAAAATATTACTCCTATAAATTACTTCTCCCATTTCCCTCTTTGATGTTTCTGTTAAACATATTATATCTATATATGCTATAAAATCAAAGATACATTGCTGTTATTATTCTTTTGCTTTTAAAACAATAATTGCAATTAAATAGCCTTTTAGAGGGATTTTAATGAGTGAAACTAATACAGTAATGAGAGAACTTTCAATTAAGCAGAGCTCCAAACTTAAGAATGATCCAGACTACACAACTTCCCAGACTGTCATTTCAAATACCCATGGACAGAAACACAAACTATGATACCCAAACTTGATACATTCTGGTTCCTTGGCTCTTCCTGCACTTAAGCCTCTATGTTCTCTAAAATCTTGCCCTTTAGAACTACACTCGGCTAGCTCTATGAAAAAAAGTGCCTACACAGAAAAACTGAGGGAAAAAATGTCCTATGAAAGGCAGTGTCACCTTTCTGACTTGTGGTAGGAAAAAAAAGAGTCCATTTCATCACTACCACATAGAAAATAATAGCTGCTATAAGAGAAGGGGGTGGGGCACAAGTGCATTCACAATTTCACTCCCAAAACAAACTCTTCTGGAATCTGAGTTCTAAGTTCCCTTCCTCCTTACCCGAAAGGGGGTGTTGATTCGGCTTGTGAGAGTGTCTAGAATGTGAACATTCTCATGCTGGTGCAGCAGGATAAAACGGAGGAAGATCTCAAGCAGCGCTGGCTCCGAGATGCTGCGCAGGAAAAGGTCCAGGTACGCAGTGGTGGTCATGACCTCCTCCACAGTCACCTGGGACCAAGGACAGAGAGCACAGGTGAGCATCCTCTCAGGGTTACTGGTTCTGCACACTCCTCACACCTTAGCCTCACTGCAGTGATCCCTCCCACAGACATGCCTGCCATGAAGCACACTTCAGTGCTCCGTCTGAACAGTTCACACTCCACAGCACCTCATGCTGCTTCCTCCCTTTCAGTTGGTAAGAGAAAGCCAAAGGCCCAAAGGAGCAACTCAAGTGTTCCAACAACTCTAATTATCAGATGTAGTTCAAATACCATAAAGATTTTAGTGCATAATCAAAAATGGGGGGAAAATGACTATGAAAACTATTTACATGGTTCATAAAGGATTAATTAAAAAGCACAGTATAACTTGTTTCATTATTAGTCATTCAATAAACATTTATTGGGATCTACTATGTACAAGAAACTGAAAACATCAGAACATATTTTACATCAAGGAAGATGGGCTATTACAAACAAAATGACGATAATGCGCTGCAAAGGACAGGTACAAACATGAAATGCTACAGGTGTTCAGATGTGTTTGTGGGGAGTTGCAGGTCAATTTTTTAAAGCTGAATCATGTACATAAAGTATTACTTATAAAGTACTATAAGAGCTTACTACTTAATAAAGTAATTGTGACTTTTTAATAACATAAATTAATGTTTTCCACCTATGTGGTTTTTTTCCACATGGTAAAATGTCAATCTTTCAGCAAATAAGACTAACTGCAAGAGTCATGTTTTTCAAAAGCTAAGGGTCTGATGCTTAGGGAAAATGTGAACCTTCAACCTTTTGGGAGTATATGTGAAGAGCTAATATCCACTAGCATGTGTAAGGACTAGAGGTCACCACAGTGGTCAATTTCCTACAGGGGCAGAGGACACATAAAAATCACCAAAGAAATAGCTCAAGTTTTCAGATCCCAACACCACACCTTAGAAATCTTAGGAGTCTCCCTGCAAATCAAGTCAAATTCACTTGATTCTAAACAAAACAAACAGTGATACTTTTTGAGATACTGTTGTCTCTTTTCTTCTGATCTTGCTTTTCTTCCTCCCTTTAGAATCCTTAGCTGTCACTTCATCATATTACTACTGTGCCACTCCTTTTATACTATATTCCTCTTACCCTTTTAATTTCCAGCTTCCAAACTCCACAGGTCAGTTTAGAAACCAGATGTGCAGATATGTATAGAGGGGCCCTGTGTGGATGCATCTATGCACAAGGCTAGGCAGTAGCTATTTCTGCTGCTTAAATTTCTGCTTAAAAGTCCTTGGTGCTCAGCTGTGTCCCAGATGGAATGAGCCCAGGTGGATAAAATGTTATCAAATGAGCTGTCTATTTACCCCACCTATACAAGGGGCAGGTCCATTTGAATTTGTTGTTTTAGGATCTACTAAAACTCGCACTGCAATTCTAGTATCCTGGACACCCTCCCCCAGCTTGGTGAGCCCTCCAGTATTCAGCACAGCGCACTGCCATCTGACCACCTTCAAAGGGCTCTCCTTAGCCAAGTACAGCAGTGGAAACAAACAAGCATCAACCAGTGGGCAAATGAATTGCACTGAGGAGAGTGCTTCGCCTGGGCCACCCTGCTTCTGAAACAAACTGCTTCTATCTTCCTATCCTTTCCTGCTTTCTCCAGTCTGGTGCACATGGCACTTCTAAGTCTGTCCTGGGATGCTTGCTGTGACTTCCTTAATTACCCCAGTACAGTGCACACAGAATGTACTTTCATAAGTGAATGACAGCCTGCAAGGATCTGGAAATTTACATCTACAGAGGTGAGCTGAGTTTTTAATTCTTCCTTATGCTCTACATGTGTTTGAAGGCTGAGAAAAGGATTTTTTTTTTTTTTTGCAAAGATGAGGATTAAACTGGGGGCTTCACATATTATAGGCAAGCACTCTACCACTGAGCTGCACCCCCAGTTTGAAGGACTTTTCCATGAAGACCTCTAAAAAATTAATGTCATTAAGCTTAGCTAAGAGGGAAATGACTCGCAACTATTCCAAACATGTAGCTCCATTAGTTCATATCCACTCTACTGCAATCTTCCGGTGGTGCAGCAGAAACTTAATCCAAAATGATTTAGGAAGAAGTCTAATTTCCTAACGATCTTGATCACCAGAAAAAAAAAATATCACAGTGTAATCATTCCAAATGGGTCATGTGTGTAGTTTCTTTAATGCCAAAATTTCAAGTGAACCACCAAGCACTGCTGAACTGACTGACATGCCATGCGGAACCCAAGAGCTGCCTTTGGGCCAATAATGCAGCATGAGCCCTTCCCCTGGAGTCACACAGGACCTTACTAAGCTCAAAAGCCCAGCAATAAACTTCTTGTAAGTCTCAGTCTTTGGGGGACAAAATGAAAGGAGGGCATTAAGCATCTATTGTTTACTACTCTTAGGCTGGATAAATGAAATTCTTTCTAGAAATCAAACTTGTCATTAATAAGCTAAGAGGATTTAAGAAAGCACTCGAAGGGGCAGCATTTACATAACATGCTATAAATATTAAAAACCCAATTCCTTTACTCACCAAGTTGCAAACTATAAATTGAGGTCATACTCACCTTAAACTAATACCCCAACCAGGAAAATCTGGTTCCCTTCTCTTTCCATCTCTTTTCCCTAGGACATCTTCAGAGCTTTTAGAAGCCTTTTATCCCAGAAAATCTTTTCCTGCCCCATTATCTTACTTTCAGAAACTTCTTCTAATCCCCCAAAATAAGCAAACTTCTTAACGAGGATGAGACCAGAGCCTGAGTGTGATCACTTGAAAGCTAATGATAAACCACCAGAGGAAAGACACTCTGCTGTGCAGAATGTAAAATGGACTCTTCTGCAATGCCCCAAAGCAATATTAGCAAGACAGGAAAGTAGCAAACTCGCCATAGTCCAGTGATGAAGGACAATCATCTCTCAGTGTAAAGAACACTCTGTGCCTTCCACGTGCTTACCAATATTTAATTTCTTTATTCTACAAGGAACTGCAGGTAGTTACAAACTTACACAGCAATAGCCAATGGAGGTCTTAGTACCTTATCATACATAATAATAAAACTTGAGGATATGAAAGCTTAAAAATGTTTTTTGATACTAAATGTGGACCACAATGACTGAAATAACCTAAAGAAAAGTTTCCACAAACAATTATATTTGACAAGACGAGAAAACTGTAATCCTAAAGAATACATCTACCTGTGCACTTCTGTATGCTCACTTTTCAGCCCAAGTCCTAGCATGGAGCTTTGAGAAGGGCATTTGATTGCACTACTGTCGAGTGTAATGTAATTCATCCTTTGACACAATTCTTTCTTTGCCATCTTTTCCACCCTCCTGTAGCTTGTACCTGGAGACTCTTCATGTGTAGTGTCTCTGCCGATCCTGTTAAGTTGGTGTTTTTGAAAGTACAGTTTGAGGCCCAAAAGTGGGTGAGTGAATTCAATTTATTGGTTCATAAGCAGTTTAGCTAAGATGCAAATAGAAAATGTTAGCATAGCCGGGGATTTAGCTCAGTGGTTCTGGCGCCTGCTTCACAAGTACAAGGACCCGAGTTCGATCCCCGGTACCAAAACAAAAAAAAAAGAAAAACAGAAAATGTTAGCATACAGTGCATAGTAAGGGTTAAGTACAGTTTTGTGAAACTCTGGCAAACATGCAGTACTTTGTTGCAAATACACACAATGCAATGTATCGTACTGCATATACACTTTGCTCATATATCCAGTAAATATACACGCAAATGTACAAAACACAATTCTGCCTGTGAGAAACAGGCAGCAACCTCCACCCACCACCTTATTGCCACCCGCCTTCCGGACACACAGCATGGCCAGTCCTGGAAGTGGTGCACATGTGGCTGACATCCGTTTTATGAACAGGACAGCAACTGAATCTTCCACTCAGCCTATTCCTTTTTATTATGGTCTGAGTGCTCCAAAAATGCATTTTTATTTTTTATTAGAATTTCAAGCTTCTCAGAAATGGAAATTTTGTTTTCTTTTAAAAAGGAGGTGGGTGGAGGAGGTGACACCATGTGTCACATTTCACTTCTATAAAGTCGAAACTCTGTATAAAAAAATTAAGGCCAGAACCAAGACCAGCCATCATGCCCACAACTGCAGCACTGCATTAACTTAATGTGTAGGAGTGAAATTGAGCATATATAGACATCCTGACCTTTCTGTAATCAGCTCTAGTTGGGCAATTCCATTTGCATCTAAATTAGCACCAGAATCCTACCTATAATGACAACTTTATGTGTCCTGAAAAATAATTTTCCACCTAAGAGTGTGTGTGTGTGTGTGTGTGTGTGTGTGTGTGTGTGTGAGAGAGAGAGAGAGAGAGAGAGAGAGAGAGAGAGAGAGAGAGAGAGATGGGGTGGGGGGTCCAGTCATACTGAGGCAAACAGATGGATCCTACCTTCCGTCCCTAAGGCAGGTGGCAGGCAGTGGAGTCAGGCGATTGTGTCAGAAGCCACTGTTCCTTGGCTACTGGAAGAATACAACTGCCTAAACACTGGTTCTGGTGGGTTACCTGTGAGTCCTCAGTCCTGGTGGCCCCAACCAGAGTGAGGAAACATGGACAAAGGAGAAGGAAGCCCACTGAAAGCAGTAAAGAAAAAGGAATGATGGCACCAAGTCCCAGGAAGCAGGATGAAAGGTTCTTTAGAGAACGCAGGCTGCAAGCCTGACCATGACTGCCAGGCAGGCCAACAGACAGGCAGAAGGAGTGTCCACCCATGGGAAGCAAGGGCAGCAGGTGGACAGGCTCCTCATGGACATCTCCTTCTCCTTCCCTCCAAGGACAAGAGTTCCCAGAAACGCATTCAAGCACAGAAGGGAAGGCAGAGACACCCTGGTTCTCAGTGAGTGGCCCTCCTTTTCAGGAAAAATTTGGGACAGAAAATATTCAATTACTCAAGGTCTAAAAATAATCTGTGGCTGATGATTACCACCCTCCCTCCAGACCCCCTCAGGCCTCCCTTCTGCTCCTC